TATTATTTCTGAAGAAATAAACAAAGAGTAGAAATAATTTAAAATAACTCATTCTCATTCTAACAAATATATGATATGTCGTATTCTTATTTAAGGTTTCCATTATCAATTAAAATATTTTATTTGGAGCATATTATTTAAGGTTCCCATTTTTTAATTAAAATATCTTATTTGAAATGATAATTTAGTAGCAGAAGTAAATTTTATGTGAGCAAGAATTGAGGATATAGTGGTTTTCATCCATTTGATTAACTATTTTAATTTCAAATAATAGTTCATTCGGAATAAAATGATGTAAAGTGCATTTTATAGATTAGTTTTATTAAAGTATACCCGCAATAATTGTGCTAATATCCTTTTCAGATAATTGGATTATTGTATTAATGAATATTTCATAATCAGACAGCAAAAAACGATTAAAATTATTGAAGTATTCTTTTTCTCAAAATAAATTTTATTCAAAATGAATGCATTCTTTTTAGAGATGAAAAAATGATAAAAAAAAAAAACGCTGTAAAGTGAAAATAAATTGAGTTACGAGAGGATTGGCACAGAAAAACAAGTAATTTTAGATGCATTATCGAACAAATTTTCATTTGCCTTCTTCCAATCAACTTACAATTAAACCTCATCATCTATTTTCTTTTTATATCATTCAAATTTTTAAATTTCACGACCAATCATTCGATTCTTTTAGACACACATATATAGCTAATAACTTTTGCCAAAAATTTAAAATTTTTTCGTAGAAATTAAAGATTTATTCTCATTTACTAATTTACAAAGCAATTTTTTGATTGAATTAATATATCCAATTTTTTTCGTCTGTTCAAATCTTTCTGCTTAGAATAAACCTTTGAAGTTGGTTCTCTTATAGACTCTTTTGAAGTATACAATTGTTGGTAGATTTTAATTTTCTGTGAAAATTTTAGCAATTCAACGAAATATTGCTATCTTTTAGATTAATACAAACAAGTGGGCAAAAAAATAGACAGACGACCATAAATAGGATAAATGAATAAACAGAAATTGGTAGCAATTTAAGTTTAATTTTAAATTTTCTACAATCTTTTCGTAATTGGTACTTTCAACTTCGTACAAAGTTAACGATTAAGCAAAAGAAAATAAATATAATTTATTAATTTTGTTAAACTAATAAAAAAAATGAAAAGCATAAAAATGCGACATCTTAGAAGTTTGCCTTGCTCATTTCATTTCATTAATTTTTAAGACGGTCATACGTATTCACAATTATGGTTATAAAAATTGGAGAATTATTTAACGTAAAATGCGTGTGTGTGAAATGAAATGATAGTAGAAGTCGTTTTTCAATCACTTCAACATTTATCAATCCCTTATAGTTTAACGCGAAGAAATTTTTTCCATTTTTTCTCCTTATTAATCAATAATCAATCTAAATACCGGTTTCACACGTACATGTATGTGAATGTTTATTGTACATGAATGTGTGTGTCTGCGTGTGTGTGTGCGTGAGTGTGTGTGTGTGTGTGCACATGCATACTGTAATTGTTTATCAGAAGGTGGGTGACATGTCGTTCATAAATAAATTATATGTTTATTAGATTTATTTGAATTTCTCCACTCCATTTTATTTTATCATTCATTTTCATGTTCAATCCATTCATTCATCTTTCCGCATAACTTCACTTTAGCATAACCGTAACACAGGAAATTTTTTAATATCTATTACAATTAAAATCTTTCGATTAATTAATATCACACCATTGCCAGAATATTAATTAATAATTGATATTAATCAATATCACATCCTTGGAGAATATTAATCAATAATCAATATTAATTAATACCACATTTTTAGAGAATATTAATTAATAATTAACCATTCATTTGCAATCTCAATATAATCACCAATCTCAGTGAAACTGATTAAATCCATACCGACTTTTTTTTTTTATTTTTTAATATCATTCATTCAAATGGTATTCGTGCAATCGTTAAAAGAGTATTTTAATGAAGAACTTTAAGAGTTGATGAAAATTTTCATGGGAATTGATGCGGAAAAATGTGCATTGTTTTAGAGCAATTTATCACAGCAATTAATAATTTTAATAGAAAGAGTACAAAATGACAGAAAAGATTTTAAGCGTTTCTAATTTCAATTATCAATTCGTTCCAAATAAATCTCATTAAGAGAGGAAAAAAGTTAAATTTAGAAAAGTGAACGCTATAAAATCAAAAATCATATGTTTACATGTGTTCTTCTCCTTAACCAACCACTTTTTCCACTCATTAGATGTTATTGGCAATTGACAGACAAGCCTAAAAAGTGTAACAACAATTGATACAACATACATACCTTTCTGTCATTTTAATTACTAATAATATCTTTTCCAGGAATTTAATAGCTATCAATGTCATCTCAATTGATTTTTGATTTCAGATATTATGTACTCAATTGTGTATGCCGCAAAATGTTATCAAATAGAATGGACATGTTAATTTAACAAATAACAATAACAATCGATCATTTCACTTTTCCTAATTATGCGATATCGACAAAATTTACGCATCTCTCTGTTTTACTTATCATTGAGAATTCAATTCTTCAAACAACAAATCTTCAATTTCATTTATCATTTCTAATTATCGCACAAATTTGAGCGCTCATTTACTTTTTTATTCTATGCACTATAATTGTAACCATTTACATAAATTATTAAAAAAAAAGATTACTTTCTAAAGTATGTACACATAATTAACTGACTTATTGCGTGTGTTCAAACAAACAAACGACAATCACTTATTTAAGCCTTTTTATCCCATATCATTAGATAGATCATATATGCAAATGAAAAGTAATTTGAATTAAAAAGATGCCAGTTTGTGCTAGTTCTGTTCATTTGGCTAAAATTTTTCATGGAAGCTATGAAACTTATGTTATATTCTTATCAAAAATCAATCATCTCAATTCGAATTGTTATATGAATATTTTTAATTACTGATATTTGCTATGGAAATGAAAACACTCAATGAGCAATTTTATTTTTGATTGATTATTATGAAAAATTTGAACATCTGTAGCTTTGATCATTTCTATCTCACACTTTTAAATATCTCTTTTTTTTGATAAAAATATTTAAAATATTAAAAGATACAAGTTGAAATTGATATTTACCATAACTCATGCACTTTATTAGATTAGGCTTTTTTATGTAAAAGAAATTAAATGATCGGTACTGATCATTATTGTTTTCGATCCGACATAAAATTAAACAATTTTTATTGAATCTTTATAACTATTGATCACTTTCTGAAAATTTTTTTTTCTGCAAATATGCAACTCTCGGAGCTGTGTTAGTTTTTAGAATTGAATTCTAAAAAATGCTGCTTGAACTGAAAATTCAGGGCATATTTATCATTGAAAATTTGAAGGAATAAGTCATTTCTACTCTATGCCTTTTACCTTTTCACTGTTCCCATTTCTCATTTTCCTCTTCTCTCAATAACATTCTTCCGAAACTGGTATGTATGCTGTACTGCTTTCTATTTATCAATTCTATCGTTGCTCATTCAAAATACCAAAAGAGAAAAAAAATAATAATGAATGAAGTTCATCGGAAAGCCAAATCATTCTGATGATGATGATACGATTTTGCCAAATTTTATGGCATTTTTTTATTTCGCTGCAAAATAAACTTTTATATTTTAAAACTGACATTAATTAAGTTTTGTCAATGTTGAAAGATTTGAACAAATTTCTATTATTATCATATTGTATATTTTGCAGATTTTTTTTTTAATCCTAAATTCATAACGCTGTAAAATAAAATATTTTCATTTTGCTTGGTTATTGAATATTCATTTCAAACTATTTCTCGAGCCTAATTTTTACTTCAACTATCATGGCTCACGTTGAAGAACTTCTAATACATTTCGATATGTAAACTGTTCAATACTGCTGCTTTTGGAAGAAATGAGGATTCAGGCAGGATTTGTGATGGCAAAAAGTGACAATGAAATATTTGACTATTTTGGAAATGAAACAAAAAATGAGGATATCATACAGGCGGATGATTCAATTGAAATGAAATGCTATGAATCCGACAATTTTCAGACGTTTCAGAAAACGGCAAGTTTTTAAAATATGTTAAATTCTTCTAAGAATTATGAGATCGGTATAACTTGCTTGCATCATATGGCTAAATTAGTAGCTCTGAAGAAGAAAACGAAATTTTACTGCTCACTCTCTCTTTGATGTTTTCCGCTTGATAAAGGCAGCTATGATATGTTCTTAAATGCTTGAGCTGGTAATAATTTGTACTATTCATTCCTTGAGCATCAGGTATGTGCTGATGAAAGTGAAAATTTTGCTAATGTGGACAAATTCAAATAGCGTTGTGATATTTCATTCTAAATGTGTCTTTAAAAAATCTAACTTTTAGTTTCTAGAAGAAAAGTCCTTTGCGTAATTTACAGGTATTTACAGGTAGACGATTTATTGTTGGCAGCGAGTGTTGCAGCGACCATTTTCAATGTTTTGGTAATTTTTTGTGCGATAAAATTATTTCGACGAAGTGGCGATACGATGCATTTATTTATAATTAGTATGACTGTTGGTGATTTATTACTTACAGGTAATTAATTCGATTTAGCTAAAAATGACTAAATACATAGCAACAGTTAGCATATCGAATAGAAATTTCAAATCAAAATTCGAGAGTTATTTTGGAAACAGATTCAAAAATTTGACAGTTAAAAATAAACTGAAATTCTATTATTGTCAAATTTCAATGCTGTTGCAATGTTAAATACATATTTTGTAAGAGATAAAAGTTAAATGATATGAGCGCAAAAATCAGTAACCCTCTGAAAATTAATATGGTAGTGAAGGAATAAAAGTGAATTATGTTTTATGTCAGTGTTGAAATTTCAATTTGTCTTGATTTTTTTTTCTTTTTTTGCTATGGCTGACAAAAAAAAAATGATATGCTCAAGAACTCTAAAGCACTTTTAGTGATTCTCGTTACAAACATTATCATTTTAACTTATAAAATAAATAATAAAACTTTGTGGAGGATTTAAAATGCAATTCCAATAAGTAAAATCAAATTCAACTTTCAGTATTTTGTCATCCAAACGAATTTCTAATTCGTAAACATGAATTCCTGCGACATGTGCGCCTTTGTGCAGTAACTCATTTTTGCAACTGGTTAGGCTTAGCTGTATCAGGCCTATCATTGACAATGCTAAATCTTGATAAGCTCATCTATTTTCAATGGCCATTAAGCTACGATCGTACAATGTCGAAAAAAAGAGCATTTATTTTATGCGCTTTCATTTGGAGCATCTCAGTTGGGTAAGTTTTCCAGCTTTTCATTTTTTTTCTCAAAGTTTTCGAAGACTTCAATCTTTATAAGGATTTCTGTAAAATTTTAACTTCTATGATAATAAATTTCATCTCTACTTTAGAAATATTTTTTACAAGTTGTCTCGAAAACTTAACTCTCAACTTTACTCTAATTTTTTGCAATCATAATAAATTGTTTTAAATTCTATCAAATTACACAACATTCGAAGTAGGCAATGTATACTTTAATAGTACCCTCCCATATATTGATTGTTATATCACGAATAATATTTCAGATATATGACCTGGATTTGGGTGTTCAATGTTGTTTACATCGGCAAAAATTGCAATTTACAAGTAAATATTTACAGTATTTATCACTGTTATCAATATTTATTTATGACAACAATTCTTAATTCAGTACATTTAATTAACACAAGAGTGTTCGCCTTTGATATTTTTAAAAATTCGCTCAAATTTGCTTGTGTTTTTTTAATTATTTTATATTTTTAAATTATTTCAAAAATTGCTTTTAGCATTTGAGTTTTTAAAAAAAAAAATAGAAAAATAAAATTAGCGAAAAAATAAAAATCAATTATAGATGACCAGTGATCAAATGTATTTTTACGATATATTTATGGTAACTTATTGTGTATTGCCAGTGACCTCATCTTTAATCGTCAGTGGTTATTTATATCAACTTACACGTGAAAAACGTCATACTGGAATTTGTATTGGACAGTCGCAGAAATTTAAAAACAAGGTTAGCCCATTTACATCACAATGTTAATTTTTCCATCTAAAATAAAAATACATCGTCTCATTATTAATCTTTTAATGATTTAAATTGATCACTTAAATCCTTATTGTGAAATCTTTTGAATCTTAAAATTTCATGTTTTTTCTTTTATGACAAGAAAGGATTAATTTTAATTACTTTAAATACATTAGAAGTTGACTCCTGACAGACTAATACTGACTACACTGACTCTTATACTTAGTTTGACATTTGGTTTATCCTCTTTACCGATAATGGTCATTTTTTTTTACGAGCCAAACGACCAAACATGAAATGAAATCACGTAGACTTCGAGAGCTCATAATCTATGGCTTCATTTTGCAATCAGCTATACTTCTTCTCTCGGTCTTTTACTTTAAAAAAGCTAAACGAAATAAAAGAGTAAAACAGGTGACCTGTCCTGATTGAAACAAAGATGTTACGTGCAGATGAAATCACTGGTGTTTATTTTCGCTACAACAGCATGGACATCATTCAGCTTATTACCGTATCGCATTTTCAACATTTGTCGAATGCACCTATTCGAGTGGAATAGTTTGGATTGTGATACACAGTCTAAAATGAATTGGCTTGCTTACGTGCTACTCTATCTGCTTTTCCTTAACCCGGTTAGCTCTTCTCCGTCACCATAAAACTGAAAATTAGATTAGCTATCAGAATTATCACTCATGTTAATGATACTATTTGAATTGATCGCTCCAAATTTCATCATCTATTTTGTTAAGATTTTAATTTTTTTCAGATAATCAATCCTTTGATAACCTCACTAATATATGCACCGTATCGAATAACATTGAAGCGATTTTTATTCAGCATTCCTAACCGAAATCGTCCATTGTATAGCTATCGCGATAATCAAACTGATTTAAGGTATTTTTGTTACAGAATTCACTTACTAAGTATCCATTTACTAAATTCGATCAAATTGTTAGCTGATAATTAATTTTGTAACCATTGTTAATTTTCCTTAAATAATAAAATTAATATTTATAGCATTTATATCATCTAAAAATTTTTACCCATTCATTAATTACCATTGGTTATCTTATTTTATAAACTGTTAACTTTACAGCTATACAAGCGCTTTTAACAAACGATCACGAGGATATCGTGACTCCGAGATAACCTTGGATCATGAAATGATAAACTTAAATGAAACAACACAAACTGGAATAAATGTCAATACACCTAGTGAAGGTTCATAAACTTCACGTATTATAAAAAGGAAAAAAAAAATTTGCTGACAAACATGAAATTGTTCACTTTTTTATTTTTTAAATCAAATTCCTAAGCAAGTTTTTAGGATTGCTACTAAATAATATAAATAACAAATAACACCTATTGTTGTTTATATTATTTATCGCAATGATTATTTACAGGCGAATAGCAGTAAAATTTGCTATTCGGTGCTAATTGTTTGTAGGTAAATGTTATTGTAAATAATACGGGTTAACGAAGCGGACAATACCGCCGATTGTTTAATCACATTTTCATTGTTTGTTTATTTGCGCTTGTAGCTATATGATAAGGCTATATACAATCTTGTGCACATGCACTTTCTCTGTGCAATCCAATTCATAAAAATTTTAATAAATTTTCCTCGTAAAATATCTTCAGACAAAAAAAAAAAAACAAACAACATCAGATATTGGAATTTTTAGTAAAGGTTATGTAAAATGTGGGAAGAGGATGTAACAGCGTGGTTGGAATGGATAGAAGCAGTTTAAAAGCATCCGTAACTGTAATGAAATTCGAATTTTGACATTCTGCCATTGAGATATTTCACTCCTCCATCGTATTATTTTGGACTTAAGAACACAGAATGGATAATAATTGGCATGAAAAAGAGATTTCAATATATTTGTGAGATTTCAATAAGTTACTCTCGGGATCTCTTATCAACTTCTCGAGATCAGTCACTATCTGGAATTACTGCTGAAGTTGGAGGAATAGTTTTCATACGGACTACCTCAATTGTGACAGATTGAAACGGAAATATTGGATGTGGACGTATTTGCCTCTGATATATGGTCGGGAAGCGAAAGGGAAGGAAAAGTGGGGGAGGCGGGGGAGGAGAGGGGAGGGGTGCGAGTATGTTGACAGCCGGTCAGATAGGATTAGAGTTTAGCTGTGGGAGTGAGATAGATAATTTGGAGAAAGTGAATTGAATCGAAATGATGGCAGCTGTAAGTGGAAGATGAGAATGGCGAAGAAACTATGAATTTGATGAGCAAAATTTGCAAAATATACTGCATAAATAGATGTGCTGCATGCTACACGATAGTTTATTATAATTTTTGAAAAATTTAAAGGCAAGCTGAAGTAGCATTTTGATTTTTTTCCTTTTTAAATTTTAGTTTTTGAAAATTGAAACCATATTTTTGCTTTCTAAAATTTTGTTTATCAAAAGTTTTGATCGCTCTTTGTAGATGGATTTTCGGTTGCATTGATAAATTGATTTCTGCTGGCTTTTGGAGAAAGTGTTTCTGCAAAAAGAATTTACACATAGTGCCTTTACAATGATTCGAGAAACATGCGTGCTATGGAAATATATTTCACCAACGATATTTTCTGAAATGGGATTCCATTCAGCTAATGGAAGCAGATATTTGTGGAATTTATTTGTGGTAGGTTTTTCTTGATTGAAATAAGCGTTAACCGTAGTGCTTGCGCGGGATTCCCAAGTGGTTGTTTTTTGTTTTTACTTTATGCTTCTTTATCTTTTAACTTTCCTATCGTTGTATTTTATTTAATTACCATTGAAATTCTTTTGGATTTTGAAGAAAATGATTTTTTAAATCATTCTATGTACGTTCTTCTACCATTATTATTCTTTCATTCTGTCCAATTGGGAACTTAAATTATTATCGGACAACACAACTTGTAATTTAAAATCCCTTAATAAAACTTTTATTTGTAAAAAGAAGGCTAGTTTGTTTTGTACATTGACTGTTATTTTTTTTAGATGCCCGTCAGATGGTGTTCTAGTGAACCAATTTTCAAAGTTCGTAAAACAATTCTGTGGGACGAGTCATTTGAACAACAAACAGAGACTGAACCAGGAACATCCTCAGCCATTCAAGTAATTGGGATTGTTTAATTCTTTATTTTCATTGTAGTCAGCTATAATGATTTTTTAGAATTAAACTCGCACAGCGTCTTTCATAGAACAAGGATAGTGCGTTTTTACTATATGGTTGCAATAATCGTTGGAGCAATTCTTTCTGCGGCAAAACATTGTAAATAAATGCGCATTAGTTATCAGCTAATATTTGTTAGCAGATCGATTCACTCCAATACAATTAATTTTTACGGCTTTATTTGGAATATTTACATTCACGGTATGCTGAAGCAGTGTCTTGTGTTGGGAAAATATTAATTTTTACGGTTTTATTTGGAATATTTACATTCACGTTTTTCTGAAGCGGTGTCTTGCATTGGGAAAGTCACGGTTCTTCTAGATACATTGAACAGCAGTACTTGAAGTTTAACTTAATATGTTTTTTATCTATTGCAGGAAGATAAATCAGAAGATTTGGTTGGTTTATACAACACTGAGCCGAAAACTCTTGCTCAAGCAACTATTTTAAATCAGTTACGCATTAAAAAGATAAAAGAGACGTTGCAGCAGTTTGATGAGCTTGAGCAGCATGAAAACATTTTCAAGAAATTCAGTGAAAAATGGAATTTAAAGCTGGAACTTAGGAAAGCACGAGCAGCACGTCCTCAAGATCAAGTTACATATACGAAAGAAATACTAGCAGTAATTTTTTTTTTACTTACTATATTTAAGCTTTCTGCTGCATGTAAATAAAATCAAGAATTTTTTGTGAAGTATGTTGTGTTTAAAAATTGTCAAGTATTTAGATTTAATTTCGACTCTTTCGCAGCGAAACATAATGTATCAGTTAAAGAAATCACTTGTTATTGGAAAATTATTGAAAAAAAAGAGGAATTGAACTCTCTTTGGCTTATCAGATGAAGTGAAATACCCTTTTCTTTCTCTCTCTCTTTCTGCATTCATTCCCATGAACACTATTCTAAGATTGTGTTTCTATCGAATTACATAATTATGGAAATCTGTGCATTCTTAAAAATAATTGTACTACTTTGTTTTGTTCTAACCAGTGGTTATTTATGAAAAACAAAACGCGATAAATCTATCTTTTTGCATTAATAAATAATAGTCATATACTGCACATTTTAGAACTTGAACCATTCTGCTGCTCAGTTGTATTTTGATTGCGCTAATCGATTTCCATATCTGAAGCTTTGCACTGGTAAGTTTATTTATTTTAAATTCACTGAAGTTTTTAAATCCATTCTGCAGAGTTTGTATTTTTTTGATTTATTTTAAGAATGAAAGTATAGTGTTATTTCTCCTTAAACCGCTTGTTTTGTTGCAGCGCTTTGTTTACCGGATTATCTTTCGACATGGTACAAGCTCACTCTGATGCACACCTGGTTAGCCCATTTTTTGTTCTCATTCCGCTGTGCTTTGAACTTTTATTCGTATATTTCCCATAATTTATTATGTGTGATTTCTTCTTTTTTTATTTAATCCAGTTTCCTTTAATCTTTTGAGTTGATAATTTACAGGATGTTGCTTGTTCGTTTGCAATCTGTGTTAGAAGCTGCAGCTTACATCAGACTTAGGAACAGTGTTATCGAAATTATGTTTGGTGACATTGATAAACGTCTAAGAGTCGTCTCGGTATTTCTTCATAATTCTGAGTAAAGAAAACTTTATCCAACGCAGATATTTTTTGATTTTCACTCTACTAAAATGTACGGGCATCTTTATAAGTTTTGCAGGAAGAATTGCACGAAATGTTGTACCATAAAAATGACAAACGTCGTATGTCCGGTTTGTACGTGCAAACATTCCTCGAATATGATGAAGTGAATACATTTTTTAATATTCACAATTTATTGATATAAGTATTTTGAGATCTGTCATTTTTTTGTTTCTGTTTGCATGTGTAAATAATTCAGAGATTATTCAGGGATTTCTGTCCGATGATACTGCATTGGCTGGTGCCTTATGGCGCAATCTCTATATGCAACGATCCGTAGATCCAATTCATTTAAATCGAGCAGTTTATTATGTGCGCGGAACGGTTTGTTTTAATTATAGATAAAAAATTTTACCGATGAGAGGTAGTCATGAGTTTTAGTGAGATAAATTTTATTTAAGATGAAATTTTCCGAAAGCGAAAGTCAGGAACGCAAATCTTGTCCATTTTTTATAATAGCATTTGCAAATTAGTTATTTTTATAAATTAATTATTACAATTATTTATAAATTTTGATAGTTCAGATGGCGTATTTGGATAGCCTCAGCCTGGAAGAAATTCTTCTACAAGGCATCAAGAATTGGAAAACCGCACGTCCTGATGAAAAATCCGATGATAAAAACGCTTTTAAAATGGCTGAGAATGTAGCTCATTGTTTGTTGATGCAAAAATATAAGCATGCTTGAAATGCAGACAATCATTTTCTTTATCGCAGTCGACAAATTCATTTTCCTGTTAGAATATTTTTTTTTTCACTTTTTAATCTGTTTTTATTTTCGGCTTTTATTTTTTGCACAAAAATTCAGAAAATAAATGAACATCTTTGTTGTGTCGCGGCCATAAATTATTCGCTCATGTTTTACTTCCCGTAAGAATATTAGTGATAGCACCAAAAATATTTTAAATCGAAAATTTTTATGCCATATTATCTTTTTATTAAGATTAGGAATATTTATTTTATTATTTTTATGCTTCACCAATTTCTGAGCTACAATTCAGACAGTGTTAATTTCTGGATGTTGCTGTTTTTAGAAACTTCTATTTATGTTGAAATTCATTCTTCAGCAAATTGAGTTATCCGGATGTGTCATGCATTCATCAAATGAGACTGTCCTGAATTTCTTTACGATCTATGTGTATCGTCGTGAAAAACAGACTGAATTGGTTAATAAAAATTGGCAAACTAAATACATTTAGGCGTATACCGATTTAAATTCATTTTAATGCAACATAATCTAAGACAAAATTAAAGTAGAGGATCCAGTTATTAGATTTGGCACTTCTATCACTTCCGGAACCGGTTCTTTTAAATTTTAGTTTCGTTTTTTTTAGAAAAAAGTGTGTTCCCATTTTCATTCTTCACCACTTCTATGGTGAGCATAAATGTTTCCCAGACATAAAGGCGATATAATGGATACAAAGATGTCATACAAGATAGCAAGGAAATTTTGTAAAGATCTAAAAAATAAATTTTTAGAAAAAAAAAATAAAAGGAAATGAGCTCTTTTTTTATGTGCTTATGGAGTTATTTGAGGAATTTTTAGTAAATTTCTCATAAATGATTATGGAAATGCAATTTTAATATTCGCTAACAAAGAGAGCTTTACTTATTGTATTTCCGGAAAGTGTATACTTCCATTTATTTCTTTTTTTGTGTCTACAAAACCTCCAAGAATTTGTGAAATTCGATTGCTATAATTTATGCTTTATGTTTGTAATTTCATTCATATCATTTCTGCATCAAGCATTTCATACTTTCGTACATTCTTACATGGATAAAGTATATTTGAGGAAATTATGTCAAAGATTCAGTTTTCCAATATTTCACAGGAGAAATCAAATAATTAAATTTAAAAGAAACTGAAATGTTGAAGAGATGCAGTTAGGAGAGGATTAGAAAACAGCTTGAATTGAATTAGATTTTCTGATTTCTGATTTCTTTTATGCTTATGGCTCTTTTATATTTAAGGCATAAGTGCCTTCTTACTATTACAACTGTGACGGGATTAAGTAATCTGATTTCATATTGCCATTTGGTAGTCGGATTAGATTTTCGATTGCTTCATTTCCTTTTTTTTTGCCTATACGGTGAAGTAACTAATCAATTTCATTTTTCTCATTATCAAGAAATTTTGATGTCCAATCATATGAACTTACTGATGATTATTGAATAAATTAACCGATTAATTTATGAGTAATGGCTTATTTCATCCAATGAATTCATCATAAGATTTCAGTAGTTCAGTTTTCATATTGATTGCGTCTTTACTTGCTTGATTGCACTTCTCATTTCCTGTCATAAGTTTATAGTTAATTATAAAAAATTACTAAATAATCTTGTTGAAAATTTTAAATGAATTGCTAAAACTTATAAATTTAGACTTTTAAAATAAAGAATAGAATTGGTTGAGAGATGATTGGTTAGGGTGTTTATGGCTAGCGCATTTTTCATTTATTTTACTCTCTCATTTCATATTTTACTCTCATCTTTTTACACATCATTGTATTGCTGGTAAAAATAAAATTGATATTTAAAAATTTTTGCAATTCTTTTTTTTCTCATTTCTTTGAGTATCAAAATGCCGCCTATGAAGCAAATTTTGTTTTTCAAGATTTCATTCATACGCATTCGTTATTTTGATTTCAGCATAGCAAGGAAAATTTTCGCCCATGCTTTGAACCAGATTACTCTCGAACCGATATCATCATATCCTCCTTCCTTATCCTCTCAGTATGCATCATTTTTTTTTTCAATCCGTCATCATCTGCCACTCTCTGACATCTGTGTTGATCAAAGATAAGCTGTTATAGTGTTACTTATCGAAATTGTTTTCTTTTCAACTACTATACTTAATGGTAGTGGTAATGGTATTAAAATATGAGATGGATTTTTAGCATTTCATAACATTGATATTGCTTGCTTATCATTTATCATCTATTATAAGCATTGATTAATAGTAAAGAAAAGAGCTTTCTGATTGATATGGCTCAATTAATTAAAGCTTAAAAACATTAATCATAATTTCAAAATTTCCTCTTTCTTTTTTGGAGAATTTTGTATTACATATTAAAAAATAAAGAGTAGAATTGGTTGAGAGATGATTGGTTAGGGTATTTATGGCTAACGCATTTTTCGATAAAGCTATTCTTAAGCATTTATATATTTACATGAGATATCTGATCATTACATTTTCGAAATCTTAATGTCTATTTCGGATGGAGAAGATTGAAGTGCAGTTTACATTTTATTCAATCAAATAATTTATTTATTTGATATGCTGTTTGATTGCATTATCTTGCATTTACAAGAATTTGTATGGATGACTAATGAATTTCCACCGATAATTGGATACTTTTGAAAGTTTATATAATTTTATACTGCCAGAATATCAGTTTATTTTTTGCACTGATCGAAAAAAAAAATTTTTTTTTTTGACATAAAAACGTTTAATCATTTAATCATAGATGAGTAATATCTTTATCTTAAAATATTTATGTTTCATTCTTTAAATGACCTCATCTGTCCATCTCTTTCTCTTTTTTTTTACACATTAATCTTTTCCCTTACTCTCTGTTAACAATTTCAAAAAAGTTCATGAGGAAAATTGCGTCCTTTGTAATTTATGCATGAAATGCTTGAATTTATTTCCTATGTTTTTTTTTCATTTTTCTTTTTTATTTAATCAAATTTTAATCGAAAAGCCGTGTAAAAAAAATCATGATTTTGAATTTTTCTTTTTTTAACTGAAAGAATTATTTTAAAGCAAATTTTAAATTTAGCCATATGTATTGAAATATTAATATCAGTCAAAAAAAGATGAGATTAAAGCAGAACTGGAATTATGTCATCACTATTATTGCATGTACATGAAATTTAAATAAAAATTAAAATTTAAAATCATTGCCAAAAAATGTTTAAATTAATTAGTTGCTGATAAGAAAATGATTTTATCGGACGGATGTGTTAACTTTTACAAATTGCAATTTACTCATTGTTTCCTACCACAGTTAATAGATGGAAGTTGAAATGCTATGCTCAAAATGCTTTCGTTATCACAAAGAATGATTAATCACAAATAAGTAATCATTCTCTAGCTGCAGTCTTCGCTTATTCGCTTACTTAAATTCAAATTATAAATTTCCGGAAGTAAAGATATTTCATTTTCTTTCAGCAAATATTCAAAATAATAATTTATAATTTTCCAATAAATTGCAAATATTCCATTCAAATTGTTCCATTTATACATGCGATCGATTTATGATATTTACATTTAAAAAATTAAAAAATTTCAAAAAAGTTTTAGTTTGAAAAGAAACAAAAAAGTGGAAGAATGTTATATTGTGAAATGCATGGTATAATTATTGTCCGGAGATTTCATGTTAAATTTTATCGGTCAAATGCTAATATAAAATGGAAGGCAATCAATACTTGTCATCTATTCCGAAACTTATTTAATATCAATTTATCATTCTTGTTTAGCTATCGCTAATCAGCAATGTTTATTATTTCGAAATAAATTTTATTCTAAGTTAATTAAAAATCAATAATGAAACTATTAAATCAAACAGATTTTCGTGAGAAATGATTGGACGAAAAAAATATAATTTTGATATAAAATTTTAAAAAAAGTGGCTATATTATCTGATGTAGAGTAAAAGTGTAGTAATCAATTAATTAGTAATAAGTTTCAGCAAAAATTTTAAATACATATTTTACTAGCATTAAAATTTTGCCAAATAGCATTAGGGAGAAATAATCACAGCCGTGCAACATTTTAATCCTTGACAGGTATTCCTGAGATAGATCGTTTAAAAGTATGAATTTTTCTCTTTGCTCGTTTTAAATTAATAACTGATCTAAAATGATTATCAAATGAAAAAACTTAACTGTTATCCCTTTATGCTTTGAAATTGAAAAATCGGGTGGTTTTTTTTTTTTTTTAACTTTAAGTAACAATAAATGAAAAATGGGTTGAGAGAGATGGAAAATCCAATTATCATTATTTTTTATTTTCCTGTCAATCTGTCCAGATTGTTAGCTTATTGAATGTTCAAATGGTAGACAAATTTTGACAGGAATGATGAAAGGAATTGAGCGGTAAGATGAATGATAATACATTACACTTATCAACAACCAATCAATTAAATTCCTGACTAAATATCCCTGAAAAATTGTTGTAAAATTTGTGGAAGTAAAAACTTCTATTACAATCTGTGTGGTAATTAAAGCTATTAGCAATATTTTCTCATTCCATTACATGTAATTTAACATCCAGTTCAAAGCATTTTTATGTTAATTCATTCCTATTTTTATGCTCTAACATTAAATTTAGCATTTTCTTTATTGTATAGAAATTTAAAATATTAGATGCTCCAAGATTACATTATGCATTCCTAATGCAAATGGTTTTATCCTCAGAAGTTAGAATTGGAAACGATGCATTAGCTGTCAATATATCCATTAGAAAACTATTTATATCTTCAACGAACGACCACTTAAAAAATCGTGCAATTTCAATCCCTGAAAAGATCAACTTTAAAATTTTAATGCGAGAAAATTTTTGTTTTAACAAATTTATGTTATACGTTGATAATGAATGATATTTGTTTTCGATTGAATCTTAAATTATGCATGTATGATTTAAGTTTAATTAAAATTTATCACGATTGTACTAAAGTGTATTCT